TCTACAAGAAACGGACCATATTTCACATTATGGATCGTTGTATTCGCCTGGCAGCAGGCCTAGAAATTTCCGACAGAGAACGTGACACTATCATTGACGCCTACCACTACTGCTGGATTGCCTATCGCGGACCCTTCAAAGTCTTATACTCGGACGGAGAAGGCGCCCTGAACAATGATGCCGCTAAAGCCATGATGGCCAATAAGGGAACGGAGCTTCGCATCCGAGCACCTGGCCAACACGCGACTTCAATTGAGTCACGAAACGGCATTCTCAGAGGCGTGCTCCACATGATTGAGGAAGAATTGAATAGACACAACATCCCTGTTGTATTCACTAGAGTATTGGCAGAAGGCATCTTCGTTACTAATGCTTTTACGTTTTATAACGGAGTATCGTCATACCAAGCACACGCAGGACGTCAGCCCTCCTTTCTCCCTGATCTCGACACCCTTGACTTTCCCGAGGGACCCGAGACTTCAGGACGCGAACGAGAACGTCGTGTGAGGGAAGTCAGCCTAGAAACCATAACTCAGGCCACTGCTGTGGCCAAGACAAATCGGGCTCTTAGGGCTAAAACGACTCCTGATGGTGCCCGCCTTTATTCTGCAGGGGATTTGGTCGATTACCACCGACCCACTGCCACTAAGGACGACCATGGAGGCTGGAATGGCCCATTCCCGGTGATCCGCAATGTGCCTGGAAGAGGACATATTGTTGTCAAGGCAGGATCTCGTGAGGTAATTGTGATGCATCCTGATGCTCGTCACACACTATACATTGAATGTCTCCTCACACGGGAACTTGGCATGGATAATATGGCCATGCAAACCGTCCTTACATATGTGGCGCATCTCGGCGCAGGGAAACCTGCCAAAGTTTTCGGCTATATCCCCGATTGCAAGGGAAACCTCAATCTTTCAGACGACAGCAAGTTTCACCCGCGCGTACATCTAGCACTACAGTATCTCGTGCGAAACTACTTCCGAGTAGAACATGTAGTAGCAGTTAGATTGGCCAAAAGTGTGTCAAGCCTACCTGCAGTAAAGTACGCCACCGGGTCTACGCTGATCCACTATGACAACGATATCAGCCCGGCTTTCCACTACTACGAATGTGTGGGCACCGGCCTAAACATTTCTCAGATCACTGGTAGCACTCATTCCAGACTTATTCAATGCTTGACTTCACCTGTCCCTTCCTTAGGATTTCACGACGACCTGGCTAAATATCAGCACTCAAGCAACACGTCTGGAGAACACGATTCGCCTGGAAACCGGCCTCCTCCAGACACCCCTGGTGCTTCACCGCCGAGTGAAGGCCGTCTGTCGACAATATATGAGGAAAATGAGGAACATAATATCGAAGCTATGATGCTGGAAGAGTGGTACGACGAACTACGTATGGACCTTCATCCTACGACGACTACCGACGATTATCTCTACTGCGTCCCAACAACCATGCTGCCTGACCAATGTGTTTTGGTTTCAGCACCTGTGGACGAAGAAGACATCACATCATCGGACACGCTCGGAGTCGAGCCTGAACCACGAGAGCCCTGTCTAGTCTCTCTCTGCTCAACCACACCTGACGAGAGCTACTCTAACTGAAAGTGATGAATATGGTCGTTACGTTGAGTTATGTTTTACATCAGAAATGTCAAAAGTAGTATTGGATCAGACTCAACTTGCACAGCTCGACACCGATATGGTCGCAACGATGAGAGTATATGTATCCTCTGCTGCTAAACGTGCTGTGGTCGTTAAAGAAGACGATCTATTGACCAAAGCCGACATGGCAGCACATCCAAAGGAGGTTAGTGAAGCTTACTATACTGAACTCAAAATCTGGATTGACAACCGATGCTTTGAGATGTACGATTTATCCAAAGCTTCCAACATCATGACATCCAGGTATGTGTACAAGTGGAAGTTTGTAAAGGTGGGTACCGAGAACGTTAAAACCATTCGTCTCAGACTTGTCCTTCGTGGATTTATGGATACTGAGGCTTTCGACGTAGAAACATTCTCGGGAACCGCCCGAAGGCAATCCCAACGACTCCTGGCAAGTGAGGCGGCATGCCATCCAGAATGGATCTTAGCATCCATGGATATCGACAAAGGCGTTCCTCAAGGGTTTGACCTATGAGGAACTTGCCCATGCCACCGGCGAGGAAACTCGCATGGTCTGCTTCACTCTTCCACCGGGAAGTGCTCAGGTACTTCGTACACTACCCGGCTTCTCATCCCATGACGAAAGCCGACACTGTCTCAGATGCCTCAAACCAGGAACGGGTACAAAGGACGCTCCAAGAGCGTTCTCTCCCAAACTTCGTACGACCACACGAGCTATGGGCCTTGCACCGACCAGTTCTGACCCTGAATTTGAATTCAGCCAAGATCTGCGAACGGCAAAACATGTCGATGATATTAACATGACTGGCCTAGAGAAAAATATAGACGACTATGTACAGCGTGTCGAAAAGGTGTTTGGCAAATGCAAGCTAAACAAACACACATATACGAACTGCGCCGTTCGCTACACTAAGAATGATCAAGGGAATGTGATTATGGATCAGGACGAGTATATCAAACAACTACGTCCTATCACACACCCAGAACTTACAGGAGTGGCGGCCGATGCCAAAGCCACGAAACTCATGACCGACATGTTCGTCAGCTTGCGAGGAGCCCTCGCCTATGCCCTTCTTGCTCAAATCTGGCTCATGGTATACGTGGTCTCTCTCCAGAAAATCCAAGAGCCCGCCAATCTGCAAGTCAGACGCCTGAATGCTGTGGCGCGAAAGCTGATCAGCAGCCCGAAACGCATGACCTTCCCTCGGATGAAGCCGACGAATGAAGTTGACATCCACAGCGATTCGGGGTATCGGAAGCTTACCGGGGAGGAGGATGATGAGACCAAGGGCTACGGCATACGCGGGGCGAATGTACTACGGCGAGGAAACTCGCCTCAAGGCAAGTCCGTTCTTCACCTCTGTGACGGACTATGCAAATCACACCGACTGCAGGTGGGGTCCAGCTATGCTGCGGAGGCACTCGCAGCGGCGCATAACCTCGATGAGTGTTACCCTACGCTCATCAATCTCCACGAGCTCAAGGCAGGAGCTCTGACTCCACGACAACTACGAGATATGCGTGAAGTTGGAGGCCTAGCAATCAAAGTATCTCTTACCATAGACGCTGAGTCCGTTTATAAATCATTATCAAGCAAGGATCTTAAGATACCGACAGAGCGGACTCTGCTCGGACATATCAGTTGGATACGTGAGCTCATGGATATAGGTATAGTACATAACGTGCAGTGGTGTGATACTAGGGATATGACCGCAGACGGGCATACAAAGGGAAGCATCGATCGGGAGCTGCTTCTGGAAGTGATGTCAGGCAATCAGTCATTCAAGTATGACGTGAAGCAGTTTGTTCCCTGTCGGGGTCCCGAGGACAGAAACAAACCCAAATCTAATCAATTTTAGTCTGTCCTTGTTGCCCCCCCGCGGTCCAATTTGCCAGCATGGGCGCCTACTACAGAGGCGCCCTTCTAGTTGCTCGGAAACGAGCCTTACATTTCACGCCTGGCAACGAGCCGGCTTTATATGTCTCAGGCTCTTTGTCTTAATACATATTTGCTCGGTGAGGCATGGCCCGTTTGGCTTACCTCTAACTGAGCCGATAGCCCTTCATCGTTCGAAGGGGCTATCTTGTATTTGCGTGAAATGCCTTGCGAGGATGCTCGCCTTACAGTCTTGTGTTAGGCCAGACTACACATTGTTTTCTTTCTTGCAAACAGTCGTGCGCGCGGCCTTTGTAGAGCCTAACGGCTGCGCGGCTATGCTCTCCGTCTCCTCCCCCCCCGACTTTAAGGGTAGCTCTTTGGGAGATGTTATAGTATCGGGGGCATAGCTCGCGCGCCGTTGCCTTTGGCTCAAGGCACGCGCGCCCTATTTGCCCGGACACCGCGAGTGTTCGCTATGTGCTGGAAAGACCGATACATCGATCTTATCCTATCTTATCCGTCCATTCCTCTTACTGAACCACGTCAGTACGATACCGGACGCTATTTGCCATCCGATGTCATCGGAATCGGATGCTATTTGAGTTGCCAGGCTCACTTTCGACTCTCTGGTCGAGGGAGGGGATTTCGGAGGTGGGCAGACCTCCTGCCCCGACGTCGATTAGCGAGTCGGAGGTTTTCGGTTCGCGAGAGTGCGTCGCGGCTGTCATTTTTGCGGGTCCAGGTCCGTCGGTTTCGGTCCTAGGCTGTTTTCACCCAGGGGAGGTTTACTAAAGGGAGGCTTGTCCACCGCCGAAAATTGGGGGATTCGGTAGCAACGCATGGGAGCCTTGTCCTCGTATAAGCAATTGCGTCCTCGGAGTGCGCTGGCGTGCGCGAGTGTCTCGGTCATCGGTGAGGAATCGCAGGTTTAGCGAAAGGTTGGCATCGACAACATATTTTCGCCTTGGTGTGTTCGATAGCTTGGATGACTGATATCTGGACCGTTCGATCCCTCGACCATTCTTGGTGTGCGCCCTGGCCAGAACTCAAGGCGAATGCAGACGTGGCGACGAGGAGGCCCAGAACGGGCCAAAGCCCTTCAAAACCACGATCTCGGGCGTTGCGTGATGGAGGGGCGATAGATTGGGGGGGAAGAAAGATGCACCCTTCGGGGCCTGGAGCGGCCCTGAAGGGGCCCCTGGGGCCCAAAAGGTGCACAAAAGGTATGCGTTTCCCCCCCCGCCCCCCCCATTTGTGATCGCCTTCCCGTTAAGCAAAGGCCAACGGTCCTCGATCCTTCATGGAGGGCCGTGTCAAGGAAGCGCATGCATGGATCAAGGCGCGTGCATTAGTGACGGGCCCCCGTTTCTGTCCAGAATCGGTGCGTTCCGTCGCCACATCGGGCGGCGTTGGCTCCATGCCTGACCCCGATCCGCGGCTTTGGCGCCAGACCCGTCTCAGAGTGCTCCTGGCCCTGGCGCCCCCAGGAGAAGCAGGCCCTCACCCAGACGCTGCTGGACCTGCTCCCCGGCGGCCCCCCGCAGGACAAGCGCCCCGCCGAGGGAGGGGGGGTCGGGGCGGGGCCCTGCGCGAACGGGCCGAGCATGAAGTCGGGCGGGTCCCTCCACAGGAGGAGTAGTCAAAAACAGTCAACAAACAATAGCCTGGGGACGATTTTTGGAGCATTTGTTTGTGCATGTTTTGTTATTTTGTTTTGAAGCATTTTTCTATTTGTCGTCCCAGATCCGCCTGTAGGAGGACGCGCCCGAGTTAAGCCGAGCAGCGGGCCCGACGATGACGGCACTGACGCGCCTCGAGTAGGTACCTTGTTGCACTCAGAAAAATCTTCCCTGCAACGCCACTGGCAGCCAGGCTCGTCAAGCGACCTTGGGTAGGCATTTCGAGGTTCAGGCTCAGGGCGGTGGTCTGTGTGAATCTGGGCGAGAACCGTCCTTTTCTCCAGCGGCACGACCAAGACGACGGCGACGACAACGACTACGACCGAAGACAGCAACAACGCCAACGACGACGTTTACGGCGGCCGCGGCGGCTGCGAAGACGTTGCGAGGGCGACGACGAGACTTTCCGAGAAGCCAGGCGCTCTGGCGTTGCCGTCGGGCTCTCTCCTCGGAGGCTGGCGCGGCGTGGGCCGGGCCACCCTGGACAAGCGCGTTCCGCCTTCCGCGAAGTAGCTACTCGCAAACGGCCTGGATTCGCCGCGGGTGAGTTACGCTACCTCCGCGGCGATGAGGACAGGGACGATGAGGAGGAGCAGGATGAGGCTATCCTGGAGGTGGACATCGAGGAGGAGGAGGAGGAGGAGGAGGAGAAGGAGGTATAGGAAAGCAATGGTTTCGGGCGTTTCTGGGCAGGAGGAGGAGGACATCGAGGAGGAGGAGGAGGAGGAGGAGGAGGAGGAGGTATAGGAGGAGGTATAGGAGGAGGTATAGGAGGTATAGGAGGAGGAGGAGGAGGAGGAGGAGGAGGAGGAGGAGGTAGAGGACAGCAATTCTTTCGGACGTTTCCGGGCAGGCACTCCGCGAGGAGCGGAGCGCGCCCGGCGGCACCCGCGGGGGGCTCGAAGACGATCGCGCTCCGCGCGTCGCGGCGTGGGCCAGAGCAGCTGCCACGCTGCCAGGCGGCCGCGGCCCGCAGAGGGCGGGCCCTGCGCCGAAGGCGGGCCCGTCCCTCTGCAGGAGGAATATTTTCAGGAGGGGAACAACACAGACACAATTAATCGTCGGTCCGCAGGAACATATGGGAAAATATGGGAAGTGGGGGGGAAGACAAAAACCCAGAAAATATCAGAAACATGGGGAATCATTTTATGTGTGTATTTATTTTGTGTCCTTGGGCCCCTTGAATCTCTTCAGCATCGCGGCCTAGGAAGCGCGACCCCTTTGTATTTCAAAAGGTCGGGTCCCTAGGATCGCGGGCCCCGCGGAGTGGGCGACGGGCCGTGGCTCGGGGTGCGCGGGCCAGTCTAGCAATTCAGACAGCCGCGTTTTCGAGGGCGCAAATCGATTGCGCGTTGCGCCTCATCAAAGCTCTGGGAGCGCAGGCCTGTTGCTTTTTTATGAATATTTCCCATCGAATATTCCACAACAGAAAAAGTAGTCATGGGACGATGTTTTCGCTATTTGTTGGACTGCTTTTGAATATTTCTTGACTCCGCGGAGGGGTCCCAGCGCGGGTCGACTCCTCCTTCTCCTCCTCCTCCTCCTCCTGCTCCGCCGGGCATGGGAGAGCGGACAGATCATATCGCGCACCCTTGTGGTGCTGCACTGCGCGTCGCGAGCGGGCGCGCGCATGCGCGGCTTCCACCACGCGTGCCGCGAGACGCCGTGCCCTGGACTGGCCGCCCCCGAGCGGCGGGCGGGCCAGGGGCTCTCGTCGGGGGCAACGATGGGGGGGGATAGGCATACCCATTGGTCGTTGAAAGTAGGTATTTTTGGATTCCCAGATTCCGATCTACTTTCAGCGTCTTCCTACTTCAAGAGTCGAGTGGTTTTCCCTCTTCCTTCCTCTTCAGGAGGCGTGCGGAAACCCAATCTATTTCCAGCGCTTTCCTACTCCATGTTTCTACCTACTTCTTCCGACCGATGGGTAGGCATAGGGGGGGGGACGCATCGACCCCCACCCCGCCCGGGAAGGTGCGGATTCGCTATCGGGGGCCTAACGCCGATCTATCGACGATGTATCGCCGATTGCAGGTCGATGCATCCCCCCCCTGTGCCTATCCTCCCCCATCGTTGCCCCTCATCTCGGGCGTTGCCGTCGGGTTCTCTTTGAGGTTGGCGTCGGAGCTGGCTGGGACGAGTTGGGCGGTCCATCTTGCAGGGGGGAAGCGTCCCGGCGTGCCTATAGGCCTACCAAACAATGTTCTAAGAATTCTTCACGCTTCGCGTATACCCACCAGCCCATCTCAAAACAGCAACTCTTGCGAAGCATGCCGACAGTCGTGTTTTTCAGGCGTGTTTCCGCCTGCCCCCGCATATCTCCGGGCCTCTCGTCCTGGTGTGAGTCGTTCGGGCCCTTCTTCCTGGTGTGAGTCGTTCGGGCTCTTCGTCGTGGTTTGAGTCGTTCGGGCTCTTCGTGGTGTGAGTCGTTCGGGCCCCTCGTCCTGGTGTGAGTCGTTCGGGCTCCTCGTGGGGCCTCTTGGGGGCCTCTTGGGGGCCTCGTGGGGCCTTGGGGCCTTGGGGGCCTCTTGGGGGCCTCTTGGGGGCCTCTTGGGGCCTCGTGGGGCCTCTTGGGGGCCTCTTGGGGGCCTCTTGGGGGCCTCTTGGGGCCGCTTGGGGGCCTCTGGGGGGCATCTTGGAGGCCTCTTGGGAGCCTCCTGGGGGCCTCTTGGGGCCATCTTGGGGCCTCTGCGACCTCCTCAGAAGCGCAAATGAGAGCTGCCCCCTGAGAAGGACAAAATGAGCCCAAAACCTTTTTGTAAAATCAATGATTTTGCTATGAGGGAAGATGAGCGCGGCCCCCTCAGAAGGCCAACATGGGGCCCAAACCCTCGTAAAATCAATGATTTCTGCTTCAAAGACGAGCAGAGGGGCCAAACTCCCCCCCCCCCGTCGGGGCCAGAATCCTCGTGAGGGTCGTCGTTTTTTGGCCCTCCGAGGAGTCGAAATGGACCCCCCTGACACCACCCCGGACTCCCTGTCCAGGTCCAGGGGGAGGGGGTAGGGGGAGGGGTAAACCCCTCCCCGAAGGGGAAGAAGGGGGGTTGAGGACAGAGAGAGCTCTCTAAACCACTCACGCCCAAAGGGCTGGTGGGATTTTTTGTGGTTTCCACGCAGTGTTCTTAGGCCATTCCTGGCGGAGTCTGTCTTGCTTTATCACATCGGGCTTATGTTCTGAGAACATTGTTTTTGTTCTTAGAACATGTTCGGGTTCTAAGAACATTTCGTGGTAGGACTATAGGAATGTCTGGACGGTCGGTCCCTGCTCAAGCCCAGCAGCGGCTCCAGCCAGGAAGGTCTGCGGGGGAAGAGGCTCGAGGTTCTGGGTTCCAGAAGGCTTCCTGCCTCGTTTCGGCCTCCAGGGGGGCCGTTGTCGGGTCCGCGGATGCGGGGCGAAAACCTGCACCAGATGGACCCCAGGCCAGGTCCAGGGCCCGATTCAGAGCGGATCTGGCCCCGTCCCCCCCCCACCTCTTGATTTAGGTCGGGCATGCCCTCCTACAGGCAAATGTTCGACGAAAAATTAAAGATTCTAAAACATGTTCGAAAATAATCACAACTTGTCGAGAAATCTTCCCCAGGCTATGGCTTGACCATTTTTGAATATTCCTCCTGTAGCGGGACCTGCCCGACTTAACTCTTGATCGATTTTGGGGGGCCCCATGCAGTTCAGACCCCTTGGCCGCCTCCAAGGCAGGCGTGGCGTGTGAGCTCAGAGGAGCGACGCAGGGCCACGGAGCCGGCTGCGCGGGCACCGCGCGTGAGCCTGAGCAGAACAATTGCCTGGATGTGCGTGGACGTTCGGAGCTCCGCGCGGATGTCTTGGGCCGGCGCACGGGCTCCCCTGGCGCGCTCCGTGAGCCGGGGAGGGCGGCGCAGCGTAGGCTGTGCCAGCCTGCTGGAGCCTTGAGCACCAGGAAGAATTTCGAGCACCCAGGACGTACCGAAACTCTAGGCGTTTCACGTGCCGGGCCCTGGGACGCACTCGTTCGACACTGCTTCGACACTGTTTCGGCACTGTTCCGACGCTTTTCCGGGTGTTCGAAACTATTTCTGGGATGTGATTTGTAGGTACGATGGGAGCAATATAATGTTCAGCCCAGATTTAAGGAGCCCGCGTGGACCTCCAAAAATCTATGTTTAAAGCTGTCCGAGCAGGCTGCCGAGTAGGGTCGCGCTTCACGAGGAATGTAAGCGCTCTCGTTGCCAAATTGGCGTTCCGCGCTGGCGTCCCGCGTAAGCCACCGCTCGAGGTTTCTATACCATCGCGCGCAAGACTTATTTTTTTTTCGTCGCTCAGATGCCAGTGCGAGGCACTATGTTGCAACCCCACCAGCACACACCTCAGGCTTTGCCAGACACGGTGGCGAGAAAACGATTTCAGTGTGGACGGTGTCCCGCGAACGACTTGTATCCGAGTGCGCTTCGGGGGGTGCATTTAAAGTTTTCCAGAGAGCGTCTCGCCGAGAGCGTCCAAAAGTTTCCAGAGAGCGTCTCGCCGTCTGCGTTTGAAGTTTTCTAGAGTTTCCATTGTGGCTTCCTGCAGCTGCGCCTCGCCGAGAGCGTTACAGGGTTGCCCAGACCGTCCCGAACGGCCGGTGGAGACCCGAGTTGTGACCCAAAAGCTTGGCTCCCTTCCTCCAGTACCGAGGTTCGAGGACATCTGTGTTTGACAGTTTGGACGATTTCTCGGCCTCCTTGTCGCTCTTGAAATCTGGCCGGAGCCCACCTCATCCTGAGAGGTCTGGGGATCGAGATGCAAGTTCCGAGGCCCACATATCCAGCGTCTTGAAAATATCAGGGCGGAGGCGTTTCGCCGATCCCGGCCTCTTGAGGTTTTTTCCTCGGCAGCAGAGCCGTCAAAGACCACGATTTAGGACGAAAAGCTGGCCCCCTAAGGCAGTGCTCGGCATCGCCTTCGGTGAACGTCAGATTCGAGGGTGTCCGCAGTTCGGTCGGTTTGAATGCGTCGCAGTCGATTGGGTTCAGTCGGTTCAGTTCAGTCGGTGGTTGTATCGTTGCTGCGTCGCTGCGCCCTTCTGGGCTGCTCACGGCCAGGCGGTTTCGGTCGATCTGGGTTTCGTTGCCAGCTCGGCTTGTTTTCGACTGTGCTGTGGCCGTGTGGAAGGCTCTGTGTATTGAGACACCAAGACGCTGGATGTCTGGGCTAACCGCGACGACCGCGCAGCCGTCCACAACGACGACGACGTCGGCGGGGCGACGAGGAGTAGCAGGCGCGCCGTGACGACGACGACGACGACGACGACGACGACGACGACGACGACGACGACGACGACGACGACGACGACGACGACGACGACGCCAAGTCGCAGAGGCGCCGGCCGCGGCGCCGCTAGCCGCGGCGTCGGCCGCGGCGGCGGCGCCTCCAGCGGCCGCGGCCGCGACGCCATCGGCGGCGTCGGCCTCCAGGCGGCCGTGGTCTGGCTCGGGCCGAAAGCGTGGGATAGGGAAAGGGCGGGGTGCGAAATCTGCTGCGCGCAACCGGTTTCGGCCCCGCCAGCGTTCTCCTCGATGCGTTGGCGCCTCCGGCGCCAGGAGGCGCCAGAGAAACAAGCCATGTGAGTTGAGTCGCCAGCCCCCGCATTGCTAAGCCCCCCTTTCGTCCGACCCGAGTGGTGGTCGTCGTGACGGTTGTCGTTGCCGTCCGCTGCCCTCATCGGCTTAGAGAGGATTAGAGAGCGGACGGTATTTCTGTCCCTTTTGGCCTCCAGGGGTCCCCGAATTAGGTCCTGGGGCTATCAGAAACTGGCTGGGGATAAAAAGGTGGTGCCAGGGAAGAGGTCCAGGCAATTGGGAAGCCACGCTGCGAAACAAAGACACCATAATTGTCGTCGTCGTCGTCGTCGTGCTGACGGTGGCCGTCCTCGCCTAACCAGGAGGGGCGTCATGGTGGTGGTGGTGGTGGTGGTCGTCGTCGTCGGTGGTCGTCGTCGTGAGTCGGTGGAGCGCACGGTGTAGCGCGATGGGGACGACATTCTGAGAAGCGGGGTGCTTCTAAACAGCCTTCATTGAAAGCATGGGGCTTCTCAGAAGCTCGCCCTGCTTCTAAGAAGTCTTTTCAAAAGCCGATGGGCCCTTCTAAGAAAGCTCCCCCCTTGGTGCGTACCGCAAAGGAATGGTGGTCGTCGTCTTGTGATCAGGAAGGTCGCCGTCTTTGTCGTAGTGGTCATCGTCGTCGTGGGGGTTAACGGCATCGTCGTGGTGGTGGCCGCCGCCGCCGTGGTGGTGGTGGTGGTCGCCGTCTGTCGGGTCCAACATGGGTGATTGACCGTTCCCTGGCCAGGTCCGCCCTGGCCAGTGCGTCCGCGCCACCCAGATGGGGCCCGAGAAGGTTGGAGGAGCGCGCTGCTTCGCCGATGCGTCGGCGATGCGGGTATCATCACGGTGTGATGCCCTCCCGACGTGGACCCCCGAAGGTCCCAGGGAACGGTCTGTCATATTTGCAGCCCCGGGTCCGAGAGGGCCAAACTTTGCCGCAAGTTGTCCGTCGCGTTGCGATGTGTTCACATCGCGAGCAGGCCAGGGCGCGCGGGCCGTCACCCTCCCATCTCCCACCTCCTTCCTCGACATCAATATCATCGTCGCCCGCCTCCTCCTCCTGCTCCTCCTCCTCCTCCCGCTCCTCCTCATCCCTCCTCCTCCTCCTCCTCCTCCTCCTCCTCCTCCTCCTCCTCCTCCTCCTCCTCCCCCTCCTCCTTTACATCCAGCACCACCTGCACGTCCTCCTCTTCCTTTGCATCCACCACCACCTGCACCCTTTCCTCCTCCTCCTCCTCTTCCTCCTCCTCCTCCTCCTCCCTTTCCTCCTCCTCCTCTTCCTCCTCCTCCTCCTCCTCCTCCGCCTCCTCCCCCTCCTCCTCCTCCTCCTCCCCCTCCTCCTCCTCCTCCTCCTACGTCTCGGGGGGCGAAGGGGGGCAGGGCGGCGTGGCGGGCTCCTTGGTAGGGCCTGGGCTCCCAGGAGGCCTCGCGGGGGGGACATCCCAGAGCAGAGGGCAGCCCCTGGCGCGCTCCGCGCGCCGGGGAGGGGGGTCCAGCGCCGATCCGCGAACTCCGCGCGGACCTCTGAGTTTTTATGGTTATGTCGTTCTTCGTTCCCCTGCGATCGGCCTTCGCGGTGGGCCGAGACGCGGCCAAGGAATCTGCAAAGCAGCTCAACAGGGTTGTTTCGGCCTCGCGCCGTGAAATAAGTCACGCCGGAGGATCTTGGGGGCAGTCTCTTCGGCTACAGGAGCGCTGGGGCCGCCGAAGAACGACTCGGGATGCGAAGTCGGTCCCTGGCCAGGCGACCGCAAACACGGATCGAGGGGGCGTGGATTAGCGGCGGAACCCGTTTCCATGCGGAATCGCGAGGCCGCACCGGCCGCGTTTTGGGGAGTCGGCGACCACGCGCCGAGTCCACGGGTCGCTACTCCATGTGTGCGCGCCCCCGACCTGGGAAGGGGTCTGGGGAGCCACCTTCTGGAAAAGTCACGGCGTCGGTGTCTCTGGGTCATCCGCAGAGGCGCGAAGCCGATCGGGCCCCGCGCCTCGCAGTCTTCGGGCCGGAGGGGCTGCCACGTGCCCCGCGGGTGCCGCCGCGCGAGCGCGGAGGCCCGCCTCGCCTTGTCACTGCGGCCCCCAGCAGGTGATCGTTTTCTCATCCATTGTTTTGCCGATCGGCGCGGGCCCTCGCACCCCCTTCTCTCCCCCCGTGGGGTAGATCTTGGCTGTTTTGGGCGCCTGTTTTAGGCAGGTAGAGTCGCTCCCCAGAGGACGCACGGTTCCAAACAGGCGTTCTAAGCAGAGGTCTGGAGCCAGACCCCCCCACACTTCCGCCCAAATTCAAAACGCCGAATATGAAAACGCTGACCAGGGAGTCCCAGCCTGACCCCGAAAGGTTAGGATGCAACTCTTTGGAGGTTCAAGTCAGCATCGGCCCTGGTATTGGCGTTGTCGAAAACTAGCGGAATCTCATTTCATCCTACTTCATGCCGTTTAGTCCCGCTGGGTGCAGCCGAATCCCCAGCTTAATTCTGTCTAATTCGGCTGAGTGGTCTTTTGATCGGGCGTAATGGCCCTTCATCGCCCTTACGAAGGTCGCGAGAAAGAGGCCCTGAAGGGAGGCCTAGGGCCCCAGAGGTCCGCGAAAGTTCACGTCCGCTCCGCAAGAGATGGGTCGACGTTCGCGCGGCGATGCTTCGATTGAAGTCCGACGTGAATTCGACGCAAACCCGACATGGATTTTCGAGTAAATCCGACGTGGATCCGACGTAAACGGAGTCTCAAGTCGTCGCGCGAGGCCTCCAGGCGTTTCCTCATGACCTTTCTTCACCCCCCTGGTCGGGGACAGGAACGTGGTCCACCATGTGGTGGCAAATTGCGGCCCAAACACAGCGCACATATTTATTTCAGCACCTGTCGCCCAGAGAACCGGCCGGAAGATCATACACACTATATATAGTGTAAGATATTTTTTATTATAAACGCCACAAGACAACCTATAGGTGGTTTTGTTGCGTTTTTGCCCAGCCGCGCGCGATGCGCGAATCCCAGCGGCGAGCGAGGGGGGCGGGGCTTCTCAGAAGCTCTCCCGCCTTCTGATAATTTCTAACAAGCCGCGCGGCCGTGCTCGCGCCCGTGGGGGGGAGCCATGTACAGGCAGGATTGGGCGTTGCTCTATGCGGCGGCGAGTGAGGGGGGAAGGGAGAAGGATCTCAGAAGGCGGCGGGGGTTCTCAGAGGCCCTCCGGCCTTCTGAGAAGTGCTCTGCATCTTCGGGGGAATCTTGAGAAATTTCTCAGAAGGCCGGGGGACTTCCGAGCCTTCTGAGAAAGCCCGCCCCTTCTCGTTTCCCCCCAGGCTGGCCGCCGAGAAAATCTGGAGCAGATCCCAGACATCAGGCGTCTCGGAGAAGTCGAGACGAAGGTTTTCCATTGTTTTCGGCCTCTGTGGGGCCCTTCTCCGGCTGGCCTCGCGACCGTCGAGAGACTGCTCTGGATGAAATGCCAGTCTCGAGGACGTGGTCAAGAGGTCTCGGGCAGGTGGGGTGACCTAAATTGGGGGTGAGGACAAGGGCCCTCAAGAGGCCCTTTGGGGCTCCTTTTGGTGCCAGCAGGAGCCCTAAAGGGCCCTATTGGGGCGTTTTTCTTCACTCCCATTTAGGTCACACCCGCCCTAAGGTCGGGGGCCCGTGTATCGGGGAAAATCGAGACGCCGGGTGTCGGGGGTGGTTTGTTTCATCGTCTGGCGCGTAACAGTCGTTACCCGGGCCAACCCCCCCCACACCCCGTTCCCAGGTCTCGGTAGCAATCGTACGCCGTGTGTGGGCCTGGACCCCCCCCTCGCATGTTGGTGCTTGCGTCTACAATATGGTGATCGCAGCGCACCCCCGCCCCGACGTGCCCCACCCCGCCCTACCCCAACGCCCCCCCCCCCGGCAAACGGCAGGTATCTGACATTCAACGGCACCGTGACGGGTATTTGCCAACGGGTACTTTGAATTTTTTCCGGAAGTTGCCACTTTTAGGGCCCTTTTCTGGCATTGCAGCGCTGCCCACATCGGGAAGGGTTGGGCTCGCTGGGTCACTGGCCAAAGTGCTCAATAGTGGAGTCCCCGCTTGAGGGGCGCTGAGGCAAGATGAAAACAGTATCAGTGCTTACGGTAGGTTTGCGTCGTGTCGACCAGCGGCGACCCCAGCGCGGGCGTTCAAGGTTCAACGCCGCCGGCGACCCAGAATCGATCGATGTTGAACGATCCGCCGATCGGATGTTGAACGATCGGAGCAGGGCTTCGAGCCAGCAGACCACGCCCCCCACGAGCCCGGAGGCCGCCGCCGCCCGGCCGGAGCGGAGACGGCCCCGCCGCGGCCGCGGCTGAGGCAGCCGGGCAGGACCTGGCGAAGCTGTCGGTGTGCGGGGGGGGGGCCTGCTTTCAAGCAGTGGCGATCTAGGCCTCCCAGATGGGGTCGGAGTGGATGTGGTCGGTGGATCCCGCCGCATCGCCGATGCATCGACGATGCGGCTCGATGCGGAGACCGTGTTTCCACACGCTGGCGTCGCCGACGCATCGCCGACGCATCGCCGATGCATCGCCGATGCATCGCCGATGCATCGGGATGCATTGGCGATGCGGCGCGATCCTTCGACCCCATCTACTCGGACCCCATCTAGGAAGCCTCTAGGCGAAGCGTCCTGGCTCGCCTATAGTCCTACCAAACAGTGTTCGAAGAGCCTGTCGTGGTTTCCACGGAGTGTTCTCAGAGCGTTTCTGGCGGAGCCTGCCTTGTTTTATCACATCGGGTTTGTGTTCTAAGAACATTGTTTTTGTTCTCAGAACATCTTTGGGTTCTAAGAACATTTCGTGGTAGGACTATAGGAATGCCGGGACGGTCGGTCCCTGCTCAATGCTTTGCGTCATAAAGAAGACCACACACGACCGACCGCAGGTGTGTGCCAATCCTCGGCCTCTGGGGGATTCTGCTACAAAAGAGCATGACGACAGATTCCTAAGTGGCACCGCGGGTGTCTTCCCACCCGATTTCGGCACCTCTGGCCCTCGAATTGTGTTGTACCGCGTCGTCGATGGGCAGCGTCAGGTTGGGACTGGCGAGTGCCAGAGATGCGCCGAAGCAGCGTCAGCTTGCCTCGGCGGCGAGCGAGGGGGGGAAATGAGGTGGAGGGACTTCTCAGAAGCCCTCGCGCCTTCTGATACGTTTTCTGTGTCTTCGGGGAAGGCTCATCCAACTTCTCAGAAAGACGGGAGATTCCGAGCCTTCTGAGAAGGCCTTCTCCCTCGTACTTCCCTCCCTCGCTCGCTGCCGATTGCCCTACCACATGGCAGTCCTCACTTGTTGGGGCTACGGAGGGAGGAATTCAAGTAGGTCGCGACTCGGTTCGGTCGAATGCGTCAGCTGCTATCGGAATCATCATTCCGTATGCGGTCGGTTTGGTTCGGCCTGGACGATCGTTGAATCGTTGTGTCCGTCTTGGTGACTTGTCGATCTGCTGGTTCCAGTCGGCTTGCGTGCCGCCATCGGCTTCCGGTGTTGTTGTCGTCGTTGTTTGGATTTTTTTCACGGCGGTAAGCGATTCAGATCACATTTTAGGGTGGGTTCCAGTGTTGTTGTCGTCGTTGATTGGATCAGTTCACGGTGGTAAGCGATTAAGACCACACTTTCGGGTTGGTGACGCCTGGGAATATATCGCCAGCCGCGCGCGCCCGCAGCATAGCGAGCCAAGCAGCTCGGCCCATGGAGGGCGGACCATTCTGGTTGGCCCTTGGGCCGTCTGCGTGGGTCGCTGCCGCCAGCCTTCTCTTTCTGATAATGGGGCATGCAAGCTCCTCTTGTCTGGGGGGCAGAGATCGTACAGCTCTGGAAACCGAAGTTAACTCACGAAAAATCTAGCGAACAACTCGCTTGGTCAACTCGTTACTTGACGTAACGATTATTCCCCACATTCTAAGTGGGGTTCTGATTTTCTCTACACCCGCGTCACACCCGCGTTCACTTCCACCTCCTCCTTCTCGCTCGTACACACACCACACCACATCAAACATCACCACACCACACCACACCACACCACACCACACCACACCACACCACACCACACCACACCACACCACACCACACCACACCACCACACCACACATCACCACACATCACCACACCACACCACACCACACCACACCACACCACACCACACCACACCACACCACACCACACCACACCATCCGTCACATCACATCACATCAGGAGACACACGCACATCACATCACACCACGCCACACCACACCACACCACACGGAAAGCGTGGCAGGTGTTGCATTTTCTCGACACCATAGAGGGTGCGGTGCGCAGGGGGTCGGGGCCCTATCCGCGCCAGTCGTTCAGGCACAGCAGGCGTGGCTTTTTCTCGACACCACAGGGAGTGAGCAGGGGGTGGGGGCGCTATCCGCGCCAGTCGCTCAGGCACAGCAGGCGTGGCACTTTCTCGACACCACAGGGTGGGGGCGCTATCCGCGCCAGTCGTCCAGGCACAGCAGGTGTTGCACTTTCTCGACACCATAGAGGGTGCGCAGGGGGTGGGGGCCCTATCCGCGCCAGTCGTTCAGGCACAGCAGGCGTGGCACTTTCTCGACACCATAGGGGGTGCGCAGGGGGTGGGGGCCCTATCCGCGCCAGTCGTTCAGGCACAGCAGGCGTGGCACTTTCTCGACACCATAGGGGGTGCGCAGGGGGTGGGGGCCCTATCCGCGCCAGTCGCTCAGGCACAGCAGGCGGGGCACTTTCTCGACACCACAAGGTGATCCGCGCCAGTCGTTCAAGCACACCAGGCGTGGCACTTTCTCGACACCACAGGGAGTGAGCAGGGGGTGGGGGCGCTATCCGCGCCAGTCGTTCAGGCACAGCAGGCGTGGCACTTGCTCGACACCACAGGGAGTGAGCAGGGGGTGGGGGGGCGCTATCCGCGCCAGTCGTTCAGGCACAGCAGGCGTGGCACTTTCTCGACACCACAGGGGGTGCCGCCCTGGTCGTCCAGGGCATCCGCCCTGGTGGTCCCGCTATCCGCACTGGTCGTCCCAAGCAGCGTCATCATTACACGCATCGTCGCCCGCACCGCCGCCGTTTTGGCTCAAGCAATCCGCCCAGGGAAACCCGGGGCCATCCGCTAACCGCCCCGGGGTCGGAAAGCGTGGCAGGTGGGCCACTTCTCGACACCATAAGGGGGTGCGAGGAGGGGTCGAGAGGAGCACGGCGGGGCGCTATCCGCCCCGGGGTCGGAAAGCGTGGCAGGCGTTTCTTTTTCTCGACACCATAAGGGAGTGCGCAAGTGTTTGGTATACAAACACAAGAGAGATTAAGAAAAAAACAACAATTTGGTTTGGTCGGAGACGCCCGACTTGTCTTCAAAACATCACATCGGATGTTCGAGATTGGTGGGGATAACAACAAGGGTAGGCACCGTAACCATGATGGGAGTTTTGTTGTGAGGCCTGGGCGCAAGTCGGGCCTGTCCCTCTGCAGGGGGAGTATTGAAAACATTCCTGAGAAATAGTCTGGGGTAGATTTTCCGACTATTTGTTTGACTATGTTTGAATATGTTTTGAATGTGTTAAGTTTCGTGCACAATCCGCCTGTAGTCAGTATCGTTTCTCCAATCCCCATCCCCATCCCCATCTCCTTCGAGACCCCCACCAAATTACCCCCCAGTTGGGGATACACCCCTCGAAACCCGAAGGGAACGGCCTATATCCCCATCTGGGGGGGTAAATCTGCCAGTGGGGCCCAGGCCACGCCGCTGGGGATAGGGATCGGACAAACGATACTCATGTAGGGTGACATGCCCGACCTAAGCCTCGGCGCCGTCGTGAAGCAGCGTCGGAACTCCGCACCTGGGCCACTTGAGATATCCAGGCGCACATTGCAAACTTTGCGCGAGACGCGAATCTTGCGTAATGTACCAGGAATTGTGGTCCCGGGAGCGCGAACACAGCGTAACCTGCTAGGTCGGGGACGCGAATATTGAATATTTTACGAAGAATTATGGCCTTGGGGGCGCGACTTCGGTGTAGCCTGCGAGGGATTATGGCTTCGGGAGCGCGAGTCCCAAGTACTGTCAGTGTCCCAGGACCCCTGGTAAATTCCGAGAACCCCCTGTAGGTTAAGGTGACCAGGGCTCTTTTCGGCTCCCCGGCCCGGTCAGGCGCGATTCTCTGGCAGCCCTGCCGGCGGCTGTGCCCTCATTTCCGTGTCGTCCGCGGCCGCGCTGAGGTCGTTGCCCGTTCCTTTTCTGGCAGCCGCGCCGGCAGGGCGCCTGCGTCTCGATGACGCCTCTGGTGGTTCTCCGCGGGCCCCTCGCGCGGGCTTCAAGAGTTCACAGCAGGGAGCAGAATTGTAGCATCGGAGACTGGCAATTGGAGTTGGAGCAGAGAGCAGCCTGAGCCGCGGAGTTTGATGGCCCTGCAGGGGGGCTGGTGGATTTCGGTAGGAGCTCGCAGCGTTCATTTCTTCCTCGTCCTCCCCTCCGCCTCCTCCTCCTGCTCCTACTCCTGCCACTACTACGACTACTACTACTACTACTACTACTACTACTACTACTACTACTGCTACTGCTACTGCTACTGCTACTGCTACTGCTACTACTACTCTTATTACTACTACTACGCCTACTACTACTACTACTACTACTACTACTACTACTACTACTGGTACTGCTATTGCTACTGGTATTACTATTACTACTACTACTACTACTACTACTACTGCTACTGCTACTGCTACTGCTACTGCTACTACTACTACTACACTACTACTACCACCAGACTACTACTACTACTACTACTACTACTACTACTACTACTACTACTACTACTACTACTACTACTACTACTACTACTACTACTACTACTACTACTACTACTACTACTACTACTACTACTACTACTACTACTACTACTACTACTACTACTACTACTACTACTACTACTACTACTGCTACTACTACTCTTATTACTACTACTACGCCTACGACTACGACTCCTACGACTACGACTACGACGACTATTACTCCTGCTACGGGTATTATTATTACTACTATTACTACTATTACTACTACTACGACGGCGACTACTACTTCTACTACGACTACTACTACTACTACTACCACTACTACTACTACTACTACTACTACTACTACTGCTACTACTACTACTACTACTACCAATACTATTACTACTACTTCTGCTACTACTGCGACTACTACTACTACTACTACTGCTGCGACTTCTACCATTGCTACCACTGCTGCCAGTACTACTACTACGACGAATACTACGACGACTACTACCACTTCTTCTTCTTCTTCTACTACTACTACTACCACTACTATTACCACTGCTACCACTGCT